TATTAGTAATAACATCTCATTAATACTATTAATACACAGCTATATTAATATGACTAACACTGTATTATATTAATTATATTATGATCGTACGCTATGCATAGTGATCAATCTAATTGGTCAGATTGGTTTTATAGCTCATTAATTCTCACAAATTATTACCATGATATTAAGTTTCCACATTTATTTCACTTTGATTTGTAAGCTATGAGTCATAACTTATGACTCATTAAATAAGGCTTCAATGTTTTATACAAATAATAACATGATACTTAAATATAATAAATGTTTTATAATTATTTAAATCCAAATTGTAAATTCTAAAAAATAAATTTACAGTATGTGTAACTACTAATGAATCATTAACCATGCACTTTTCTACACTAACATTAAAAACATGCACTAATTATACGGATTACAAAAATTAATTACTCATAGAGAAAATATTCACTCATTGAATAATATTATTGTTTAATAATTTAAATAAATATTTCAATTAAATATAAAATTTATGAAGTTTATAATCAAAATATATCAATTTTTATGTTGAAAATTTGGTAGTTATTTATTTTCTACTTAATTACAAAGAACATGATTAATAACTAATTCAATATAATTAACAAAATATTTCAATAATCAGAAATTTATTAAATTAATAAAATATTTTCAAATACAAACAAATCTTCATGTGTTATTTAAGTAATACAAATACAATTACTTCAGAATATTTTAATTATCTTATACCTGAAATATTTATACCACAATCTGATCAACAAAACAATGGATATAATTATCGACATGTGTTGCGCTAGAAGTGACAGAATCTTTCTCATAGAGAAAGCACTGCCACTTTATGTGCGGATATCGGGCGTCCATTTTTGCTTTAATCTCAATACTTGTATGTTTAATACCTTCCGACTGGTCGATGGCTTCAAACACAATGTCCGTCACAATTGATTGCATCAATTCATTCATATCCGTCTTATTTATGTCTAATATGCGGGCAATTTTGTTATGCTTGAGTCGGGCCTTGAAATTTGTCCAATCAAACTATAAATGTAAATAATTTAGTAAATTTATATATCTTTATTAGATTATATATAATTATAGATCAATTGTAGTTTAATGGTAGACATTACCATCTTGGTACGAAACACAGTGAATGTTATATTGTTGAATTTAACACGCATAGCGAATCCCTCTTCGCGCTTACCAGCCAACTCACTCGCGTTGTGCGGATCAGCCAAACAGCGCCATTCGGTGCCGAACTCAAGGTTCATGTAATCAATCACATGTTGGCATACATTGTGTAGTTTGTCCTGTTTTTCCAACTCTTGACTAATTATGGCCACTGTTTTGTCGTACATATCGTCGCTCATACTGCGAGATAACACTACCGGCGCCGACTGGTCTCGCTTAGATTTGGACAGTGTTTGGTCTTCGGACAATTGATTGCTAGATGATAATGATTTACCATCATTACCACTATGATTAGCATTAGTATCGCCTTTATTACCATCATTTGATCCACCAGTAGTACTATTAGATCCACCATTAGTGCCTTTATTGGTATCTTTTTTATCCTTTTCTCCTTTACCAAGCAATTTATTGTTAATTTTGTCGCGAATATCTGTCACATTATCTACTATTTTTTTCACTACATATGCAACAATAGCAATTTCGAGAAGATATTCTATAATTTTACTTAATACCTTCCCCATGTGTAGTATTCAATTCTAATGAATAAAGGTAATAACAATAGTGACTTTTATTTTTAAAAATATATATAATTTATAAAGTAATTAAAATTTATTTTTTGATTTTCAAATAAATTGTTCAATAGTTTATTTAATTCTTACATTTTAGGCGATAAATTTGTGATGTGGTCACGTTATTGTACATTAAGAACGCACTTTTATAATAATTATAATTAATTAAATTGTTGTTTTGGTTGTTCTCTATTCAAGTCTGAATAACAAATGTGATACAGTACTGTACAGATTGTAAACTATTCAAAACGCATTGTTATATTTATTTATAAGCATCTCATATTTATAAAGTATCTAAAGTACATTATGGAAATTATTAGTTTTATTTATAAATGTTTATATGCTTGCTCATCGATTAGCCAATTTTCCTGTTATTCATTAGAATAGTTGTGTAAAAGTAATTGATTAAATTAACATTGATTAAATAAATATACAATTATGATGCTATTTTATAATTTGCAAATTTGCTATTTTATATTTGAATTTGTTTTTTAATATTAAAATAATTTAAAGTGATTTTAATACAATCAATGATATATTGACAAAAATTATAATATACGTAATTATGATATAAATATTTATCAATGTTAATTATTCACATTCATTACATTTAATAGTCACATTTTACATTAAAAAATAAATTATAAACATGTAGTTTATATAATCTCATGTACAGCAAAATAGTGCTATTATATTAGTGACGGGGAACCTATGTCAACACTATACAGATTGACTGAATGTAAAATCATCACAAAAATAATCACCATTTCAGACATTTATAAAATGTTATTATTTTAAAATGAATATTCAATTATTAATGCAAACAAGGTTCACACGCGATGCTATGCGTTAACCACAATTCGGGAAATGTATCAAAGATTTTAAATATGTCAATACTCTTGTTAGAATATTTTTATTATTGTTATTTTGTGAATTTTAAATGTTTTTGACAATTATTAGTTCGATTTATTATGTCAGATTCATTTAGTATATCTCCATAGATAAAGCATAATCCCATTGAAATAACATTACTCCCATAGATTTAGCATTACCCATGTTATCCATATGTTATAGATTCAGCATTACCCATGTTAAACCTATGAGAGCTTCCCCGTGTTAAAGTATAGCCATAAAATTAACATGGAATGCCATGTTATTTTCCATAGGGTGGGGGAAAAGGAAGGGGCATAACGATCCTATAAACCACATTATTCATACTGAATTGTGGTTAAAAATTAATTAAAAACAACTATTAAATTAATAGACATTAATTCTATAGAGCTTTTCCCATAGACTTAACATAGGCTAATGTTATCCAATGGGTAATGTTAATCATATAGAAGATTATTTCCTATGGAAAAGTGAAATATAATAGAAAAGGGTAGTTTTTCTTCATGTTAATCCTATGGGACTAATTTTAAATCTATTAGAAAATGCTAGGGTATTTAAATCTATTAGGCATCTATGGGTTTACAACTTAATTCTATGACAGGATTAACATGGGCAATGCTAACTCAAAGGGAATACTGCTAATTTTGTAAACTAATGTTAAATCTATGGGGTAATGTTAAGTCTATGGACTGTTGTTAAGTCTATGGGGAGTGCTAATCAGACTCGTATTAAATATATAGATAATGCTAATTTATTCTTTGATCATCACCCGAATTGTGGTTAACGTATAGCATCGCTGTGTGTGAGTTGTTTATAAATATACCATTATTATACTGTGAAAATGTTTATTAGCAAGCAGGATATATAGCACGGACAATGGGTAGGTATGGGGAGAAAAAATACCATGGTAACTATAAACAACACGCGTATGCTTTTATGATCAGTAATTTTTCTCCCCCATACCTATCCCTAGTTTGTGCTATATATCCTGCGTGCTAATAAACATTTTTACATTAAATATTCATTTCTAGTATAAATGATAATAATGTCTGAAATGGTGATTATTTTTGTGACGATTTTACATTCAGTCAATCTGTATAGTGTTGACATAGGTTCCCCGTCGATATATTATATTGAGAACATTTCTAACAAATGTAAGTTGTAAGTTTCAACCGGTGTTGAGTAGTGTTTGAATCTTTAAATTCAAATTTTAGGGGTTTTAAAAATAACCACTTTTAACTGATCCACATTGCATTCAATATACGAGCCTTTTTATAGTGTATAATAGAATTCCTACAATTTTTACTCCAGATAACACACAACCACGTTGTGTGGGCATATCGGGCCTCCATTAGGTATTTAACCCACGGCGCTATGTCTTCAATAATGTTTGTCCGGTCGATGGCCTTAAACACACCGTCCGTCACAACCGATTGCATCGACGCATTCATATCCGTTGCTCTTATATCTAATTTGCGGCCAATTTTGTTACGCTTGAGTTGGGCTCTCATTACTTGCAAATTGATCTGAGAATATAAGTAATTATAAATATTAATAATGATTAAAAAATAATCCAAATTCTTACTCTCATGGTGTAAAACACGGTGAATGTGAATGCGACAGCGACAGTTGTCTGTGTGCTCCTTAAGATGCTTGTGTTTGACCACTTTAGGGCACCCGTTATCCCAATATTCACACCGTGTCTTTTTGGCAAACATGTTAACTATGTTAATAATTTTTATTTCAAATTATTGTAGATTTTAATCAATTATTTTAGACAATTAAATTTAGTTCACTTACCTATTGATTGAATATTTTTACATTTAAGTTAATTCTTATATTTCTTATTAAATTAATTACTAATTATGCTGAAAAGTGTCCGGACAAAAACGGTAACTTTGAGATCTAATAGTACCCGTCGTTAATAATAAACATACACTTGTATCCACACAAATGATAATTTTGTTTATTATGTTTTTTATGTTTACTTCACAGAGAGTTTCAGACATTATGGTAATCGTATGCTATATGAGCTGTTATGTTATGCATTGATTGGTCAATTTACCTGTAAGACTCATGATTATTAACTAAAGGTCAATCTATTAACAATTAATTATCAACATAGTTTACAGGTGTAAAAATAATATTTTAGTTGATGTTTAAAATTAATACAATAAAAAATTATTTTAATAAAAGTTTTGCAAAAATTGTTTGATACAAAATCCTAAATTGTTATACAAATAATGAATTAAACGGTAATTATTATTAGTAATAAAAACATGGTTAAAATGCCATTAATTTGGTGTTTAAATTATAATTGTTATTCTTAAATATAAAGATTCTTTATCTATAGTTGAGGTGACACCGGAGTTTAGTCATCTCGGTCATCAACTGTGCGATTTCGCACCTGAGCTTAAGGTTCTCTTGTTTAGCAAACACCTCCCGAATCGCTATCTCGTTGTCTTTGGCCCGACGGGTCTCGCGGGACAGCTTACGCATAATGCGGCCCTTTAGTACTTCCAAATCCAACTATGTGAATAAATTATTTAAAAATGAATAAAACAAATTAATAAGTACAAAATAAGAAAGTAATAAATTATTAAAATACAAAACAAAGCAATTATGACAGTAGGTGTGCAATTATGAATGTTTAATTTTAACAAATGATTACCTTTTTAGAATAAAACAAAGTGAACGCCATCGGGGTGTATTTGACTTTTAAATATTTGACCATAGACGACTTAAAATATGCTACACTATCGCCAGTTAAGTCGGCCAAACAGTGCCAATCAGTTCCAAATTGAAGGTCCATATACTGTGCCACACGTTTGCACACCTCATAAACGCTACTTTGTTTGCGCAACTGTTTCCTAATTATCGACAGTGTTTTGTCGGTCATATCGACGCTCATTATGTTGTATATAACTACCGGTGCCGACAGGTGTTGCCTACACTCGGCCAGTATCTGATCTTCCGACAACATGTGATTGTTTATTGATGAAATACCATTAACGGAATTATTACCATGACCACTTCTCGCATTATTGTCAGCGAGTTTTAATGCCAGGATGTCTGCCCGCAACGATTCAATACAGTCGTGTCCCGATCTGTGAACGCAATGACATTTTGAACATTGTGTCCGCTTATAGCGACAGTTGACTGTATGCTTCTTAAGATCACTTTGTTTGACCACTTGACGGCACCCGTTATCCCAATACTCGTACCGTTCGGTTATATTGTTATTATCTTTGGCTGACATTTACACTCTATTAATAAAATTGTATTACATGTTAATTTTTTATTAACTAATTTTGACATTAATTATATTTTTAATTTAGTTCACTTACCAATTGATTGAATATTTTGCAACTAAATTAATTAATATATTTTTATTTAGATTATTAATTATTTTCAGACATATACGAACACATGTCGATGATTGGTTGAGATCTGGTTGCTCTGTACCCGTCGGTTGAATAGGCATAAACTTGTATCCATACAATTAACAACTAGTTTAAATAATCAAGTTATGATTGTGCTATCGTATGCTTGAAACATTATGATAATCGTCTGCTATATTACTTGATGATTTGTATTGTTACTAATCAATATACAAATGAAACTCAACATGATAGTTGAGTAATGGTCACTTGAGTTAAACAAATTATTCAATGACATATAAGCAAGGGAGGGTTGGTTAATTAAATTATGTTAAATAATATTATTATGTACATTTATATTTTTAATTAACAATATTATAACCAATAGTAAATATATTAATTTTTACATGAAATTCATTTTTGTAATAATTATTTCAAATATAATATTGCTAACAAAATTATTACTTATATGTTAACGAGATTAGTATTAGGAACTTACTGTATTAGCAACTTTACTTTACTAAATACAGTATAAAATAAATGATTTAATATAATTAACTAAACATTGAATTAATATAGATAATAACATAAAATAATAATAAATTGATAGAGAAATTATAATAAAATTTGCATATACATTCAGATTTGTTCACTTATAATTAATACTAAATTGTAAATAAGGCCACAATCAACTGATCCACATAACAATGAATATACATTCTGGAATATTTTGTGGTATAATTGCCACCATTTTTACTATAGAGAAAGCACTTCCATCTTATTCCCGGATATTGGGCCATCAGTTTTTGTAAAATATTACCTACTGCATCTATCATAGTGTCCGACCGGTCGATACCATCAAACATAATGCCCGTCACAACCGATACCATCGTCTCATCCATATTGGTTTCAATTTCATTTAATTTTCGAGTAATTTTCTTATGCTTGAGTCGGGCCTTCAAAACCAGCCAATTCAGCTATTCATGGAAAACAATGTTTTTATTATGCTAATCACAACATATATAAAGTTGTGACAACTAGTTATTATAATTATTGATTATTAATTTGACCATTATTATTATTATATTACCTTTGCTGTGCAAAATACAATAAATGTGATTGGTGGGAATTTCACCTTTAAATAGATGACCTGTCCGTCCATATAGTGACCGATATAACCGCCCCTCCAGTCGGCAGTGCAGTGCCATTCGCTGTCGTACTCCAGATCCAGACATTCACACACATGTTTACACACGAGGTATACGCTATTTTGTGTCCTCAATTGTTGCTTAATTATAGCCAGTATTTTGACCGTCATAATTAATACAACAAATCAATACAAAAGTTTTGCAAAAATTGTTTGATACAAGATATTAAATTGTTATACAAAAATGAGTTTAAAGGTAATTATTATTAGTAATAAAGACATCGTTAAAATGCCATTAATTTTTTGTTAAAATTTAAATTGTTATTCTTAAATGTTATTTACAAATACCTTAATACAAATATTCTATGTTATTATAATTTATATGATTAATTAATTATAATATGTGGCAACAATCCTGAACCTGAACAATTAGCACGATTAATTTACCCACGCGGCAATTAATGTAACTGTTGTCTGAGTTGTGTTTGTCTACAACATTATACTTGTATGGAATATTATAAACATATCTTTGCCAGTTAAATAAATATATTTGATCGATATAAGGACCATCATAAATCCATACAACACACCGCCACTTTTGGGCAGGATATTTGGCCTGCATTTTGACCTTAATGTCGGTCATTGTATCATTCATAGTGTCTGTTTGTTTGATGGCCTCAAACACAATGTCCGTCACAACCGATTGCATCGATTCATTCATATCCGTCCGAATTATGTCTAATTTGCGGATAATTGTGTTATGCCTGATACGGGCCTTTAGTACTCCCAAATCAAACTATGGGAATAGATTATTAATAATAATTTAATATAAATGTTAAAATAATGAACATAGATATTATGACAGTAGGTGCTCAATTTGTAAATGTTTAATTTCAATAAATAATTACCTTTTTAGAATAAAACAAAGTGAACGTCATCGGGGTGTATTTGACTTTGAAATATTTGACCATTGGCGATTTAAAATATGCTACACTATCGCCGGTTAAGTCGGCCAAACAGTGCCAATCGGTGCCAAACTGGAGATCCATATACTGTGCCACACGTTTGCACACCTCATAAACGCTACTTTGTTTTCGCAACTGTTTCCTAATTATCGACAATGTTTTGTCGGTCATATCGGCGTTCATTGTGTTGTATATGACTACGTGTGCCAACAGGTGTCGTCTACACTCGGCCAGTATCTGGTCGTCAGACAGCGTTTGATTGTGTATTGACAAAATATCATGACCGGAATTATCACCATGATCACTTTTTGCATCATTGTCAGCGAGTTTTAATGCCAGGATGTCTGCCCGCATAGTTTCGATGCAGTTGTGTCCCCATATGTGAACGCAATGGCATTGTAAACATTGTGTCCGCTGATAGCGACAGTTGTCTGTATGCTCCTTAAGATCACATTGTGTGACCACTTGACGGCACCCGTTATCCCAATACTCGCACCGTTTGGTCATATTGTTATTATCTTTGGCTGACATTTACAATCTATCAAGCAAATATTATTACAAATAGTATTACAATTATTATTAATATATTATAAATTCATTTTAACAGTAATTATACTTAAAATTTAGTTCACTTACCTATTGATTAAAATACGTTTGTAATAAATTTAATTATTATATTTCTATTTAAACTATCAATTATTTTGAGAGTTGTAGTAACACGTGTCGATACCGTTGAGTTCTGGTTGCTCTGTACCCGTCGGTGGAATCAACATAAACTTGTGTCCATACAAATAACAACTAGTTTTAATAATTGTGTTTTGATTGTGCTCTCGTATGTTTGATACATTATGGTAATCGTCTGTTATATTACTTGTTGATCTGTATTGTGATTGGTCAATTTACATATGTGTAAATCGAAAGTAATAGGTGATAAGTATACCAAAGTATACCAATGTAATCAATGTTATTATAATGACCAATGCTCATTCAATGATGAATACTTATCACCTTTCACTTTCGCAATAAACATATGAAACTCAACATGATAGCTGAGTAATTGTCAATTGAGTTAAATTATTCAAGGACATATGAGCAGGGGAGAGGTTGGTTAATTAAATTGTGCTAATTAATATTATTATGCACATTTATATTTTAATTAACTTTATTTTAAACAAGTTATAAATATATTAATTAATTTTTACATGAAATAATTTTTGTAATTATAATTTTAAATTTAATTTAGTGAACAAAATTATTCCTTATTTGTTTACAGGATTAGTATTAGCAACTTATGTAGTTTACTAACTACATTATAAACTAAATAATTAATTGAACATCGTATTAGTATAGATAATAAATAAAATAATAATAAATTGATAAAGAAATTAACAGAAAATTTGCAAATATATTCAGATATTTTCACTTATAATTAATACTAAATTGTAAATAAGACCACAACTAACTGATCGACAAAACAATGAATAAACTTAACAGAATGTATTGTTGTATAATTGCCACCATTTTTACTATAAAGAATACACTGCCATTTTGTTCCCGGATATTGGGCCATCAATCTTTGTAAAATACCACTTACTGTATGTATCATAGTGTCCGACCGGTCGATAGCCTCAAACACAATGTCCGTCACAACCGATACCATCGATGCATTCATATTTGTGTCGATTTCATTTAATTTTCGAGTAATTTTCTTATGCTTGAGTCGGGCCTTCAAAACCGGCCAATTCAGCTATTTATAGACGATAATGTTTTTATTTATAAGAGTCAGAAAATCTACATTGATTAGTTCATTATTAGAATGACCATAATTATATTACCTTTGCTGTACGAAATACAATAAATGTGAACGGTGTGAATTTCACCTTTAAATAGCTGACCAGTCCTTGCAAATAACGGCCGACATAACCGCCCCTCCAGTCGGCAGTGCAGTGCCATTCGCTGTCGTACTCCAGATCCAGGCCTTCGCACACATGTCTACACACAAAGTATACGCTGTTTTGTTCCGTCAACTGTTGCCTAAGTATAGCCAGTGTTTTGTCGGTCATATCGGCGCTCATTGTGTTGTCCAACACAACCGGTGCCGACAGGTGTCGCCTACATTCGTCCAGTAGCTGAGGCTCGGACTGAGTGGAGTGATCATGATCTTTTGTTAGGAGCTTATTCACCACTCTAAGTGTCTCAATCTTAGCCCGTAACACTTCGATACAGTCGTGACCAGGTATTATTGTGCCATCACATTTCGCACATGTTGCGGATTTATAGCGACAGTTGGCTGTATGCTGCGGTAGATCATCGAGTTTGATCACTTCGCGGCACCCGTTAGTCCAGTAGTCGCACCGAATCCTAAACCGACCCAAAGTGTTGGCCATTGCTCTATAAAATTATGATGAATGCACTTATTTTAGTTATATTTTAATTAATTAACTAGCATAATTTTAGTTACGGTATTAACAGCATCAATAATGTGGTTAAATTATCTGACAAACTGACCTTGATGGTTGATACAATTGACTCGTTGTTAATGGTTTCCTATCGTAAGGACAGGTAGTGTTTGTTTGAAGCCATTGAGTGATGCAGTCCTCGCAAAACGTCTGCCGACAACAGGTTGTGGTGACCGGAGTGTTAAATATCTCCTGACATATACTACACGTGTAATCGTCCCGATCTTCGGCCGATAGGTCGGGGAACCGGTCCCTCACATATCCCGGCATTTATACCACAAAAATAGATTTAATTTTTACACAAATATGTGACAATTATTTTTAATTTAAAAAACAATGCCTTTTATTTTTAATATTTTTAAACGTGTGCTCTCTTATGAGGACTAATACACAATAAAAGTAAAGTAAATGAATGTGTATTTAGAGACATAATTATCTGATTTAAGTTATTGTAATTGTATGTTATCAATGATAACTTATGAATATTTACTGTATGAGGTGATCGCTTATCATTATACTAATTGTCGTTTTAATGATTATGATCAGAGGAGACATTGAATAGATTATGATACATTTATTTTTAAATATTTTAAAACAAAAGTTTGCAAACCATTTGATTCAAAGTGCAATGAATTTGTTGAAAATTACTTTTATTTTATTTGTATTTTAATCATTAATTTATTGTAATTGAATATTCAAATATATTAAAATTACAGTATTATAATGATGATTAACTTTTCCAATTTTCACTCATTATATATTAATTACTATCGAGATAAAATAAACTATTTTTGTCATTACAATTATCAAGATTATATTTTAATGTCTATGTGAAAATAATATTTTATAAACATTTTTATCGTAATAAAATATGTTTTAAAAAAGTCACAAAAATTATGCAAATATTATTTTAATAATCCCATTGAAACATTATAATACATTATATTTGTGTCATTGTTAATTTGTCCCATCAATATCAACCCATCTAATATAAATTTAAATATTTATTTCCATAATAATCACAATATGGTAATCATTACATAACAAGCATAATTACAATATAATACATGAAAAGCAGCCAGGGCCACCACGACTACCATAATCATTAGGATCATTATCGTTGCCATCTCTTAATGCCTCGATGTCTGCCATTGTTTTACGATTAATCGCCAGTAAATCATCGATACAGTCGTGTCCCTCTGTCCGCACGAGTTTGCATTTCGTACAGATTGTCATCTCATTGGGAATTCCACAATTTGTTGAAAATTACTTTTATTTTATTTGTATTTTAATCATTAATTTATTGTAATTGAATATTCAAATATATTAAAATTACAGTATTATAATGATGATTAACTTTTCCAATTTTCACTCATTATATCTTAATTACTATCGAGATAAAATAAACTATTTTTGTAATTACAATTATCAAGATTATATTTTAATGTCTATGTGAAAATAATATTTTATTAACATTTTTATCGTAATAATTTATTACTAATAAAATATGTTTTAAAAAAGTCACAAAAATTATGCAAATAGTATTTTAATAATCTCATTGAAACATTATAATACATTATATTTGTGTCATTGTTAATTTGTCCCATCAATATCATACAACCCATCTAATATAAATTTAAATATTTATTTCCATAATAATCACAATATGGTAATCATTACATAATAAGCATAACTACAATATAATACATGAAAAGCAGCCAGGGCCACCACGACTACCATAATCATTAGGATCATTATCGTTGCCCTCTCTTAATGCCTCGATGTCTGCCATTGTTTTACGATTAATCGCCAGTAAATCATCGATACAGTCGTGTCCCTCTGTCCGCACGAGTTTGCATTTCGTACAGATTGTCATCTCATTGGGAATTCCACCTGTAATGCAGGGACATTGGATTTAAATAGTGTATATGATAAATATTAAAAAAACATTGTAATATAAGTAAATTTACAACAAAAAGTCACCATAATAATTATTTTAAACATTACATACTTTCCCGATTCCGAACCATACGTAATGAATACAACTCTGTCTCTGCCTTACGCTTTATTTTACGTAATGTTTTGATACAGTCGTGTCGCCCAATTCGCACGCACTGGCATTTTGTGCACTTTAAGTTTTTATAGCCACAGTCGACCCTATGCTGCGACAGTTCCTTCAGTGGCACCATTTCACGGCACCCGACGTCCCAATAGTCGCAACAAATCATGAACCGTCCCAATGTGTTCACCAAAATTCTTAAACATCATGGTTAATAAAATATATTTAAATAATATTATTAATAGTAAACAAGTCAAAATTTTAATAGTAAATAAACACAACAAATATAAAGTGTTCATAATTTCCATGCATGGATTTATAATTAAATTACTACTTAAACTAACCTTGGTGCTTGGCTTAGACCATCGGTTGTCAATGGATTCCTATCGTATGGACAGGTAGTGTTGGTCTGAAGCCATTCAGTGATACAGTCCTCGCAGAAAGCCTGTAGACAACAGGTTGTGGTCACCGGACTATCCAGTATTTCACGACATATACTACACGTGTATTCGTCCCGATCTTCGGCCGACAGGTCGGGGAATCGGTTCCTCAAATATCCCGGCATTTATCACCGAAAACAAATCAATTCTAAAAATATTTGTTAAAATTAATGAATTATGTCATTTGATTTTTAATAATTCACATTCAACATAATTACATTAAATTAATTCTTACATTTATTGTGACGTAAATATGATTAATTTCCGATGTGATCAATTCTGGGAACAACTTGTATCCATACGTATAACAAAATGTTTTAATTATTTTGTTTTGNGGTCGGGGAATCGGTTCCTCAAATATCCCGGCATTTATCACCGAAAACAAATCAATTCTAAAAATATTTGTTAAAATTAATGAATTATGTCATTTGATTTTTAATAATTCACATTCAACATAATTACATTAAATTAATTCTTACATTTATTGTGACGTAAATATGATTAATTTCCGATGTGATCAATTCTGGGAACAACTTGTATCCATACGTATAACAAAATGTTTTAATTATTTTGTTTTGGTTGTGCTCTCCTTTGCAGTATGTTAAACACTATGATAATCGTCTGCAATGTTATACAATAATCTGTGTAATGATTGGTCAATTTACCAATTATATTCATTGTGATATTTGATTAAGAGTTGAACTTACCTTAAATTGATTAATTATCACCATCATACTGCCATCTACCATGTATTAGGAATTTTTATTTTATTGCTCATTCAATATTAAACAATTTAAATTTAAAATCGTACATAGTATATTTACAATTGTGGTTAAATAGTTGTTAAGATATAATAAATTTAGTAAAAATTATGTATGTTTTATTATCAATGACATAATTAATGTACTTTATTAATATTAGTTTCTATTGTGTTTATAATGACAATTAATGGTTTAAATTTACAATTTTTGGCAATTTTCCCATGATCAATGTTTAAACCACTAAATTATATTGTATTTAAATTTTATTATATATTGTCTTAAAATTAAAGTAATTATATTTAGCTAAAAGGTGTACAATTTTAAAATAAATTTCTAATATTTATTATTGTTATTTGCAATATATCTAGTTCAATTAAAGTAGTAAATCACCAACGATTAAATTGAACAAATCCCAATATTAAAAAATTAAATTTTGTTTTATTCACGCTCTATATCAAATATTGTCACATTTAACTCATCCACATTACATTCCATATATTTACCATAACGGTTAATTCTATAACCACCGTGATCATAGAGAAAACACACCCATTTAGTGCCCTCATATCGGGACTCCATTCTAGCTTCAATAT